AACGGTTCCAAGAGGATGCCCACATGAGAACCCGAATGAATATGTCGAGCCCTCGCCCCCGAAAAGCTCCCAGGAGGCCCCGAGAGGCCCCCAAGAGGCCCCCAAGAGGCCCCCACAAGGCCTCAAGAGGCCCTCAAGAGGAACCCCAGGAAGCCCGAAGCAACCCCTTCAGCGTCGGCGGCACCAGCCGTAAGGCCTTCCCAACCCAACATCCAATCCAGTCAAACCAATACACCGCCTACTGTGGGATGACGATTAAGAAAAAAAGGAGGGGGGAACGATAAAAAAAATAGTTTCCCACACCGGGGGGGAACGCTCAGAAGCAGGGCTCGCCTGTGCGGTGTTTCGCCACCGGGGGGGGCGCGCGCCCGAGGACGGCGGGGGGGGGACGATAAAAAAAAAAATCCCAGCCCGGGGCCGGTTTTTTCTCATCATCATCCCGGGCGCCGCCGCGTGAACACGACCCCCGGTCATTTTTTAATCGTCATCCTCCATTACAGGCCCTTGCGGGACTGGACTTGCTCAATGCACGGCACGCGATGTACAGACGGTGACGGGCGCACGGACGCGAGCGCAGGACCTGGTGCATGCAAAAAATACCCATCGACCAGAAGAGCCGCGCAGAAACATGAAGTAGGAAAGCGCTGCACGGAAACTGGGCTTCCGCCCGCCCCTTCCAGAGGAGGGAAGGAGGAAACCCGCCCGGTCATTGGAAGAGGAGGGCACTCAGAAGCAGATTGGCGCCCGGGAAGCAAGAGTGCAGACGTTCAGCGAGCGATGTGGGATTACTGGGTCGCCATCGTCGTCGTCGTCGTCGTCGTCCTCGTCGTCGTCGTCGTCCTCGACGTCGTCGCCGTCGTGACGACGACGACGACGACGACGACGACGACGACGACGACGACGACGACGACGACGACGACGACGGCGCTGGGAGCGCGCAGGGAGCGCGCCCGAGGGCCTGCCTGCTCCCGCGGGCCCAGGGCCTGGGCCGTGGGCCCCTCCGAGCCGCCCTCCCCCAGCGCTCCTCGGGGGCCCTCCCCCCGGGGACTGCGGCCCTGCCCTCGGGCCTGGGCCGGGGGCACGAGAGAGGACGCGCAGAGACGAAAGGGGGGCCCTGGGACACCCACATAAATGCACACCAATAATCGGCTTCCCCATCTTTCCCCATGTTCTCTGGGCTTCTGCCTTTTCCCCCCCCACTTCCCATATTTTTGCACATTTTCTGGGGGATCGACGGTCAACTTTGTCTGTGTGTTCTTTCCCCTCTTGCGAAAAAAACAACATAGACGCAAACTGTCGGAGGTCCGCGCGGATCTCACGGATCGGAGCTGGATTCCCCCCTCCCTGGTGCGCGGAACGGGCCAGGGGCACGGGAGAAGACGGAAAGGAGGAGCATAAGCAGAAACTTCCGGGGATCCACGCGGACTTCTTGGACTGGAGCTGGACTCCCCCATCCCCGGGGCGGAGTATATCTCCAACTGGGATGGCAAAGTGGTGGGGGTCTTGATGACGATGGGCATGGGGATGGGGGTCGGTTGAGCCATCCTTACTCTGGAGAGCGGGAGAGGGAGGGGGGGGCGGGCGCGAGAGCGCGCAGGAAGGGAGTGCTCGACCTCGGCGGCGGTCTGGCGAGGCGGGGGCGGGGGACACGGGGCGTCTGGCCCTGTGCAGGCGGGGTGCAGGAGCACAGAGGCGCGAAGGTGCCCCAGAGCCAGCCACGAGAGTGCCCACAACGACGTCTGCAGCCAACGTGTATGTGCAAACACTTCTACATGGATGTAGATGCGTGGTCCCGAGAATATGCAAACATAAGCGGCTTGTTTTGCACACCCAGACATGAGGGGCAAGAGCAGCTGTGGGATACAGAAGGAGTGTCAAAGGGAGAAGGACGGACAACATAAAACAGTGATAGGAGAGAGGGGGAAAGAGAAACACGTACGAGAGAGAGGGACATAAATATAGAGATGCACATACACATAGATGTGCCATCCCTCGCCTCCCATGTTTGTTTATTGTATGTGCTGCTCCGCGTGTCCTCCTCGACATGCGCCTCCTGGTGACGGATCCCTTCACCTATTGCTGTTTCTCATCGCAGGTCCTCCTGGACCTCCCCCTTCAGGATGTACGGGGCTGTTGATTGAAAGGGGTGAGGAAAGCTGGACAAACAACGAGGAAAGAAGGAGGGGAGGGAGCGAATATGAAGGAAGGGAGATGCGAAGACAGGCAGGAGGACGACGAACAAGGAGAAGAAGAGGGGGCGAATGAAGCTGCAGGAGGGGAGGGAGGAGAGAGATGTGGGGGGCCTGAACGCTGAACGCTGCTGGCCTGTGCTCAGAAACCCCACGAATCGGCACTCTACACCCACTGCGCCCACCCATGCCATCCGCATAATCCTCCCGGAGGAGTGCGAGGAGCGATGTGGTCTTGCGCAGGGAAGAAGGGGAGGGAGGAGGGGAGGGAGGAGCAGGGGGATGGGCTGCGTTACGACCAGAACTTCGAG